GAGCAAGTTTGTTGCCTAAGTCTTTTGTTTATTTCACAAAGAATATCAGCAGCAAACAAGTTCTTTTGTTGATTTGTTTAATTAGTGTAGCGGGGGCAAGTTCGTTGCTTAAGTCTTTTGTTCAAAGCAGCCAACTTACATGCTTCTAGTTTTGGCAAAAGAAAGCCTTTTCAGCATGATTTCATTTCAAATCCAAATTTACGCATATATGTAAATGAAGTCCAAGCCGAAGTAGCATCTTACAAAATAATCAAAGAGAGGGGGAAAAATACCGAACAGAACCGGTTCACAGATAATTTGCAGTCGGCGAATGTATTCATTGATTAACATTCAATCTTCACACAGACACACGCAGGCAATCTACATACATATGTATTCCGTCTACCTGTGCTGCAGCTTCATCAAGCGCAAAGGTGAACGTTACACGCCCGTTGCCCCACCTCGCCGCCTGGCAACGTCTTCGATTTTCGCCGCCTTTGTGCAATTTTGCGTGCGCCTCAAATGTCGCTGAGCGCCGCGGGACAAATGTTTACCATGGCCAGGGCCAAGAAGGAACTTGACCAATCGAAATCAAGATAAATTATGGGTTCGGGCTCGCTGCTATATGGGTGTGTGTCAAAGAGTATGTGTGTGCGTGTGTGTGTTTATGGTTATACGCTCCAACAACTTTCGTTGTGCCGAATTTCATTGTAGAATTTCGGACAGACAAGGGAGTGAAGGGGCTGCTGCTGCTGTCTCTGTCTCTGCCGCCTGAGCTGTCTCCAGCATGCATGGGAAAGGGAAAGTTGTAGTTGTATGCGCGCATGCAGTTATTGATACGATTCGGATTCGAATTCCGATTCCGTTTGCACAGCATCGACTCTAATTGAATGAAAAGGGTGGAGAAACGTTTAACTTAATTGGAGCTGGGCGCAAACGCATAAACAAAAACTCTCTCGCTTTTGGACTGATATCATCATTGGCATGAAATTGAAATGGCCATTAAGTTTAATAAAATAAAATACGGGCAGTTGGGAGAGTTAAATAAGATTATAATGTGAGGAGGAACGGAGAGATATGATAAGCATACAGAGCAAAAAATGAGAGACAAATAGAAATTGAGTGAGAGAGAACGTGAAAGACAAAGATAGAGAGATAGATGTAAACAGAGAGCAAGGCAGATATAGAGAGTGAGTGAAAAGGAGTGAGAGAGAGTTAGAAGGAGTAAGCGAAAGAAAGAGATAGAGAAGGAGACATTTGAAAATTAAGTATAAATGATCATCTATCAAAAGGAATGCTCCATGAGAGATAGAGTGCCTTTATAGAGACTTCCTGACTAAAAGCTACCCGATAGCTCCAACTACGACATTTATCACAACATCTTCATTTCCCAATCTGAAACCTTTTTTATGTTTTTTTTTTTTTTTTTTTTTTTTTTTTTAACAAAATTCCTTTTATTTTAGACATTTTGAATCATTTTTTACCACAGCAAGTGATCGCGTGTCTTTTGTCTTTGACTTGGCTCACAAATTGCTTTAAAGCATTCAAAGATATCCAGCTGCTATCGCGTATAGCCAGCCAGCTGTCATTAATCTTTATATTTCAGCTGCAACGATAGCGCACCTGTTCGGCTAAAAAACTTTAATTAATTGCGTCAACATGCCGTGCATCTTGATGGCCCACCAAGAATGCAGTAGCATCGCCGCCGGCGCGACCAGCGCAACAAATGAAACCTGCCGATTGACCCAATAAAAAGCAGCGCCATAAATTCGTGAAGCGTTGCGGCAGATTTGAGAATCGCGGCATCTTTACACAGTTATACACAGGCCCTGGCTAAGTAACAACTTTTTTTGTTAACTCTGTACCTCTCTTACTCTTTTCTCTCTCTCACTCTCTCTCTCTCTCTCTCACTCTCTCTCTCTCTCTCTCACTCTTCAGCTATCTTTCACTTGCTGCAAGTAGGCCATGTAACCGAAAAATGTGCCAAAAAACGCAACGTGAAGAGCAAAGTGTGTGGAATGAGCGAAGCTAATCTGAAAATTTAAGCAGAGAGTGAACCAGAGAGACAAAGATTATGCGCGCGCGCGAGAGAGAGTGAGAAACACTTGAATAAAATATGTGTTAAATGCAACAGGTTATTGTTGTCAATGCGACTCTCATCAAGCGAATCAAATTGAAGCCCATGATGAATTGCACTCATCCAGCCGGCTAACTGTTTGATTTTCTTCGTAGATTTTTGGTACACTCACACACACACAGACATACACCTGCGCAGACACACACATACATACACAAATTCGAACTCATCACGCTTTCTAATGTCGTTACCTTGATGATGTTGATCTTGTTGTTGTTGTTATTGCTGTTGTTGTTTTAGCTGTCGATTGCCTCGCTTCGTCGAACGACACTTTTCCAATGCACACACAAAACGAATTTCAATTCTTTGGCGCTCACCAGTCGAAAGCCCCCAGTGCCGTTATTACCGTTGCCTAGCATCACCATGGCCCAAGCCATGGCCGCTACTCAAGAATCTCAATTGGCTGCCAACGCTTGAAGAATATTATTATTATTTTTTTGTTTTTTTAATTAAGCTGCTGTAAAATTATTTTCACTTCACCTAATTTTTTTTTTTTTTTTTTTTTTTTTTCGTTCTGCGAGCCATGAAGAATGCAGCTTCAGCTGTGAGCGTGAACGTGGAATATTTTTTCGCCTTTCTGAATACACTTTAAGAAATGTTAAAATTATTTTTTCTATGTACTGAAGAGTAATATATATATCAACATAATACATTATTTTTTTTTTTTCAATTTTTTTTTACATTTCCATATTTTTTTGGAATTTTCTGAAAAGTTGTATAGCTCAAAAACACAATTTTAAAATAAAGAAAAACCTTTTAAATTTATTATTACATTGTCTACTATATTCTTATATACCCAATTATGACTAGATAATTATCTAGTTAAGAGCATTAAATCTTCGTCAGAATGTAGCGGTTTATTCCATGTTTATGTAAATCTTTTGTGCTGCGCTGCACACACTGAATGAATGGACTTCAGCTCGTATGTTAATGAAGCTTATTAGCTGCATGAAAGATTTGCTTTGAAAATGCCAACATGTTTGATTTAAATGGCCCAGTAAACAGTAAAGCCGAGTTGGCTTTAATTGATTCAGCGGGCAGGCACTGAGACTCATGTGTGGCTCGTTGCTCGTGTGGTTGGGCATGTGGTGCACCAACGCCTTAACGGCGCAGCGAGTGTTGATTTATAATTGAAAGAGAGGAGAAAAAAAAAACAGCTAAATAGTGTTATTTTAATGCCCTTTCTATAAATATGCTTGGGAACATGGAGCATATTATGGCCAACTAATTGTGAAAAGGTGCGGCAGAACATATTCCTTTAGGCTTTTACGACGACTTGAATGCCCAGCGAATGCACAACTATTCGATTGCATAACTAACCCATTGTCTGCATTTGAGTTGCCTCGCATACTAATCAACTATTGTTTAATTACTAGCGTATTCAGCTATTGACGCATGTCACATTATATTATGTTATCAAACTGTATATAGAGAAAGACTTGCATATTTATTAAAATGAATAAAATCGTTAATTGTGTCTGCAATTCACGCGCGTCACGCACTTTGTCAGCGGCAAAGCCCAGGCCATGAATCCGGCATAAAACGCATATTACACAATTGTTAAAGATATTTACATATACTACTTATATAGTGACGCATCGTATGACACACATGAATACCATATAATTATAAAATGTCTTCATTTTTGTGTGTCACGCCTAGACAGGTGGCAAATCAACTTCAAAAATGTCTGATCATTGCTTTTGGGTCAGGCCCGTATTTTATTTTTGAAACCCAAATTAGCATAGCTTTCGGTTTGGCAAAGCCAACTGAGACGACTACTGCGGGTGCGACTCTGCCGGCTGCCCAGCCGTCAGTCATCTACACCTGCGTGCTGCTCAAGTACTCGACGCTCGCACCTGAATAGGTATGTGAGCATCTTGTTATCTACTTTATGTAGCTATTCATTCTTAGTAACGCCCAATAAATTATGCACCAAACATGAGCTTTCTAAAAAGAAAAGATACACAGACTCGCATACACTTGTGTGTGTTAGTGTACGTGTGTGTATTAGGTTCGCAGCACGCGGCATTCGCTAGCGGCAGGCACTTGGCTAGGCTAATGGCATGGCACGGAATTTAATGCAGTTTGTGAAGCATTGAAGAAAGTTAAAAAATAAGATCTGACTTTAATTATGATAAAATATTTAGAAAATTGAAATTCCGCTAGAAAGTGCACAAAAAAATGGTAAAAGGCTTTAAAATTGTTTAGAATAAACATTGAAAAGAAATGCTAGACATTTTAGACTATCCATAAATGGAGAAGCAGAGAAGAGCATTGCCATACATGGTGATGATGAAAGTGGCATTTGCGTGAGTAATGCTAACCATAAAAGCCAGATCTCCAAAGTTTTACATACAAACTGTAGAGATTTGATTTGCTACATTTATTACTTATTATTAATTTATAAATATTAAAATAGTGCTGAAAATATTTTTTCAAAATATTTTTTCTATGAAATGTTTTCGCATGTATATACTAAAAATTTGATGGCAAACAAGAGAAGGACATTTAGGAAGTGATTTCTATATATTTTATTATTAACCTACTTAGCTTAGCTTGATATCTACATAGCACAAGAAAACATATCCAAATTCTTTAACAACAAATTCGTCTTAATTTTCTTTCCTCAATTAAAATGAATTCGAGAATATGACCTGAATCAGCAATAAACATGTCTTATATATGCGTATACGTATTATTTGGCAACTTTGTAGCGTTTTTTATTTTCCATTCGTACGCTACCCGGTTTTAAATTTTCTCACCTTTCAGCTTGTTGACTGAAAGAAGCCTCAACATTGTCTACGGCAAACATACAAAATTCGCATGTGAAACTCCTCTGGAGACACCCTTGTGGCAACGGCTTAAAGACTTCTTGACTTACCCGCTGTGTGAACGTGGAACAGCAACAGCAGCGACAGCACCAGCAGAGAAATTGACAGCAGCTCTGCTGACAAGTGCCACATGTGTCGTTGTCTTGGTATTCTATGCGGCTTGTTCGTCTCCCTCTTCTGCTTCTGCTTCTCGTTTTCGTTACTGTTGTTGTTGTTGTTGTTGTCATTTCTGCTGGTCCGTTCAGTTTGTGTTAAGTTCTGTGGCTTTCGTCGCATTTTTGCATAAATTGTTTTTGTTTGTTTCTTTTTTGGTTTTGCGGCAATAAAAGAAAGCCTCTCTTTATTCTAAGCTGTTGTCAAGAATAGTTAATTTCGATATTTTCTTCTTTTTTGGATTTGTATTTGTCAGTTTATATTGTGAGGCTGCTTGGTGCTTTGGCGTGGCATCTTCCTATTCTTTCTATCCTTCTTCTGTTTTCGGTTGTGGATTTACATATTAAGCACTGCAAAAGGAAAGAAAGAAATAAGTTTCTGTTAGCTCTGGGCAGTTGATAAATTTTTTAAAAAGCGTTACTGCGCAAGTTTGTGGCTTAAGTCTTTTGTTAGACACTCGCTTGGAATCGTGAGAACACAGGGCACAAATAAGCTATCTCTGTGCCTCTAATGGGGAGCACTGTCCATTTAAGTGGCTCGCCAGAGAAAGACATTACGTCAGGCAGGGGCCAAAAGGCCGCACAATTACGCTAATAAATCAGAGTACGCCACATAATTGCCCAAGACATAAGCAGATCAAAGGCACGACTACTTGCCCCGCGGCTTTCTAAGCCACATTTACATAACCTCGTGTCAGCGATAGCAGGTGGGGCCTGTGATAGTCGCTGTCAGTGAACTGTTTGTTGCAACGAAACGCCCTGATTGAAATGCTAATTTTGATTGATGTAAAAAATAAAACCAAAATCAAAGAGCGAAAGTTTAAGCACACTTTTTTAAGAGGTGTCAAAAGGAAAAGTGAAACTCAATCTCGCACCCAAATAAATCAAAACCAAATATATTAGCAAATCAAAATGGTTACAAAGCTTAAGCTGGTATTACCCAATAAGTGTAACAGAAGCAACAACAACAACAACAACAAAATGTATACGTGACGCCCTACAATTGTCGATTAGCGTCTAATCAGAAGCAAAGCAAACGATCGTTAAAACGACCACAAAAACCAAAAACAATTGCGAGGCAGCCTTAGCTGAAAGTGAAAGCACTCATTCAGAGACAGAGAGAGAGGGAGACAAGTAGAGACACTGCGCATTGTAGAGCAAAGGTTGCTCTCTGAGTCGCGACGGAAACTTAAAACTCGATTACGCTTACAGCTAACAAAAGCGAAAGAAACAAAAAACAAGAAAAAAAAAAGAGTTTAACTTCGACTTTTAACTGAACCCAGACCCAAAATCGAAATGAGCCAGAGTGCGAAGAAAGTGACAGACTATGGTATACCCTGTTGTGCAGTTCGTCAGCAAAAACGAGATTATCATTGTCATTATTATCACCATTATAATTACAAATATAAATTAATAGTTAATTTAATTTATTTTAATATTATTTCCAAATTATCTAATCCACCCTCGAGAGTTACAAATATTAGCTTGCAAACAATATACCCTTTTTACACATATGTAAAGGGTTCAGCCCATTAAGAGCCAAAGCTGTGGCAGCCGCCAAGTTGAGTCATGAAAAATCATCGACTGCACATGTTCATTTTGTTGTTGTTGTTAACAGTTTTTGAGTGCAGGAAGTTGGTAAGGTTTTTCCATACGACGAACCTTGAAATTTTCGGCTGCTCCAAGTGAAATAGAAAGTTTTACTTTTAATAACAACGAGAGCAGACACAAACACACAGCAACAACAACAATCAAAACAAACAATGACGACAGCAGGCAAAGGTGTTGCTGTTGCTCGTGATGTGGATGTTGATGTTGTTGTTGCTGTTGCTATTGCTGTCATTAAACTCCATTTTGTTTCCAGTGAGCGATCGCCAAATGGGCAACAGTTGTTGTAGCTGCCCACGCAGGCGCCTGTCAACATGAGCAGCACACGCTTGTTTACATTATCCGTCCGGATGGCGTTTATGGAGTTGGCTTTCTTGGCGTCTCGATATGCGGCTTAAGTCTTGAACGGAAGTGTTGCATTGGACTCATAATTAGTTGGCTGCCATCCCAAGTTAAATGACTCATGCGATTTTTGGGACGCTGTTGCGTAACTTCAGCTGAGCCTCGGATATTGCATGCGACGATGAAGAAGAAGAAGCGAAGTTGTTGATATATGGACGAAATACGCAGAGAAAAGGTAAAGGCAATAAGTAAAAAAACAAAACTCTGGAATTGCATAAGAGCGAATATATTCCATGTATCCATTATCTGGAATATTTCCAATCATGATGAAAAAGAAGAAGATGAAACTTTTGATATATGGAAGAAGCAAGCAGACAAAAGGTAAATGCAATAACTAGAGAGAACAAAAACTGGAATTGCATAAGAGCGAATATATATTCCAGGTACCCATCAACGGGAACAATATCAATCAGATCTAAAGCAGTGTGGCCTTGGCTTATGAATACCAAACAAAAGGCGAGCACTAACCCACATACATAGATTCATAAATATGTATACTAAATTTATACTTTCAACTTTCCACGTTATCCATTGTTAAAGCTTACCTCAAATATCAATCATTAGTCCAAATGCATTAGCAGTTTTTCTTTGATGGATTTACGTTATTTACGTTTCTTAATATTTTTTTTTTTTTTCTTTATGTCTTGTCTATTGAACGTTATTTTCAATTACATTTCGCGCACACAACAAATTTCTCCGAAAAAAAACAACAAAAACTGCAAATAAACAGGCAAAAAGGCAACCAAATTGAAATTTCTATAAACATAATAGCCGATCCAGCGAATGACAGAGAAAGAGCGCGAGAGCAAGAGGAGAGGGCAGCGGATGAGCGGACGATACGGACGTTGGGATGGCCAGATGAAGCTCGTTTGACAGCCAACGGCAGAGACGGATGCGAAAATGTGGTTTTGCGGCTGCAAGGAATGCGCAGCAAAAGCTTTAAAAAATTATCGAAAAACAAAATCTAAGATAGCCGTAGAGAGCGAGGGAGACGGAGATGCAAATGTTAATGGGTAAAGCAGCTGCCAGTGTTGTAAAGAAAAAAAAAAAAACAAAACAAAATTGGCACAAAAGCGCAACGTCGCCAAAATGGAACAACTAACTGTACGTAGCTGGCGCTGGAAGAGCAGCTGGTATTGGATTGGAATTGGTGCTGGGGCAATTTAGTGCTCGATCCCATTGGAAATAGCCAACATGTGTAGGCCGCGCCAACCGGCATAAGCTGGTCAATTGAGCAAAAGACAGGTTACAGACATTTTTGTTTAGTGAATGAGCTGCCTGGAAGCGAACTGGAAGTTTATTTCAAAAAGACAACGCGCGTCTGGCATCCGGCTTGGCCAACCCACAACAAAGTTGCAGAGGCTAATTAGTAGCTTTGGTATCTGCCCTTGCAGTTAGGTCATTATATTTAATCAACGTTTAGTTTTAGTTTTTTTTTGTGTTATGCTGTTGGCTGCAGCGGCATTTATTTTAATTAACAGTGAAAAGATGTGCACGAAAACAAATTATAAAAATATGCTTGCAACAAATTTCACAGCGCGAAATCCACGTAATTTGCAACAACAACAATAATAACAAAGACGCAGTTTAAGATGGTGGTAAAAGGTAGCGCAAAAAAAGAAAGTTTTGTTTTTTGTCTGCTTATTGTTGTTATTGCCGTATTTTTGCTTTTCTACACACACACATACACACACAGGTACCGAGAGAGACACACACGAACACATAGCAACAACGGCGCTCAAATATCATTCATTCGAATTCCGTTTACATTTTGCCTTTTGCGTCTGCTTCTTCTTTCAATTTTTAATTTATAAGGCAACGTCAACGACAACGGCAAAAGCAGCTCGTTTAGTTATTCACTTTTCTAAGATTAACGCACACATAGGCACACACACACACACGCACACACTTACACGAAGTGTTCAACCGTTTCTACATTTACCGTCAACAGGTGCTCTACGCACAGCGGCTCAACGAATACTGAATGTGGATTATGCAGCCAACACTGAGCATGGCCTGTGGTGAGTTACTTCAATTTCTTTGAGTGAGTTTCTTAAGCTGCTGTGGTGAGTTGAGCGAGCGCCCGCTGCCATTGACTCTCGCCGCAACGACAACAACAATTGAAAGTGCCAACCTATCGAATATATCCAATTGAGCGGCTGCACTTGCCAACTGCAAAAGACAAAAAAAAAAAAAGGAAAAAGCAAAAGGCAGTACACTTCAATTGTAGGTAACTGCCAATAGATTGGCCTAAACAGCACATTAGCCACTAATCGCGGCAACTGCAGATTGGCATTTGCCAATTTCCATCTGCCCAAACGCCGCTAACAAGCCGCCGGCTTCAATTGCTCTATGTTCTCTACGCCCATCTGCCTTCTAGTTGAGTGTGTGGGAGAGACGGTGTGGGGGAAATAGTTAAATTCCAATCAGCAGCGTACTCAACAATTACCGCGCAAATTGCAAACGCACGAGATCAAGATTAGGCGTGCACAAAGACAAAGGCCGCTAAGCAATTGAAAATGAAAACTGGAAACAAGGAATGGGAAGATATTGAGCATAGGCGAGACCTTTGATGCCCTACAAGTATGCACACATTGCATTCGTCACCCGTTCAACAAATACAATGCCAAATAAATTTGCTTTTCTAATAAAGGTAGTTAATTAGATATTAAAATTATTTTATAATTCTTGTCATAAGTTTTATTCATTGCCAATTCGAAATATGGTTGCTGACGAATACATTATTGGTGGATTGCATCTAAATACATTTCGCTTTCGTCCAAACATTTAACCAATACGCTGTTAAATTCATGTGTTTTCCGCGTAGCTTCGAGACTTGCTTCAGGCCACAATGAACTTTTTTGTTTTTTCATTTAATTATTGGGTTTTAGCTCATTTAAAAATTTGTGCGTAAAACTATTATAATATAACAATAATTGAGATTGCATAATTTTGTTTTGTATATAAATACGCAAACACAATAATTATAACGGAATAGCAAGTTCATATAAGAGCGACTAACGGAATTGTACAGCAAGTGTGTGTGTGTTTGCATAGGGCAGTCCTTCGCTTTTAATGCTTACAATGTTTTTACATACTCTACCCGTTCCATTGAAGTTTTACTGTGGAATGAAAAAAATTCATATTTCTGTCTGTGAGATCATAACATACACACACACATAAATATGAGAATTTGAATATAAAATGTGCTTCCAAAAATGACAAGGAGAGAGAAATACGCATACTTCCAGCTGGAAGTGCAACTGTAAATGTACTCACTCACATACATACAAACATACATAAATGTGTGAATATAAATTAATTTTCTGTGCATTTCATTAAACTCGAATATTTTGGATTACAGAAAATTCAATAAACAACAAAATAGTATATTTATAAAATGTTATCCTCTTATATGCATGTATTTGCCATATTTATGAGTCCCTAGTCCCTTATATACCCTACGCTTGCTTGTAATGCTCGAACCCCGAAATTTTTCGTTTTCCATTTCTATGGAGTCTTCTCTGGTGCCGACGCCGCCACCGTCGATGGCTGAGCAAACCGCCTCTATTACACGAGTCACAATTGCGTTTGCGGCTTACCACGAGTATACGATTGCATTTGCACCCACCACAAAAGGAGTGGGAGGAGCTGTAGCAGCAGCAGCAGCAGCAGCCACAACCTGAGCATGAAATACAAGAGGAGCCGATCACGAATCTTGCTGGCGGTATTTCGTTTTTCATGTCACCTCATTTGGCAGCCAAGCAAAAAGGAAAAAAAAAAAAACTTAAAAGAGAAAAAACAACAAGTGATAAGAAGAAGACAATCGAAATCGAAGACAGAAAACCCATTGGCCATGACCAGTGAAATTTCTGTGCACTTACCTTCACAGTATTAACCAGTTTTTATTCCATTTTATTTTTTATTATTGTTTGCCACCTGTTAATAGGGAAACCCTCACAACTGGCCATAATTGAGCACGTCGGCAGCTTTAATAGTTCTTAGCCTCTTGGGTATTAATGTCAAATTGAAAGATGATCAAACGGTACTTGAGGGTTCCCCATTGAGCGTCTGATTCCATTTTGCGGTCAGTGGGCGCTGCGTTAAAACTTTGTTTATCTATCTTCTCATAATTTATTCAATATATGTATTTGAGTACAATTTGTGTAGCGAAACTAAATCTGAAGCAATGGTAAAACACGAAACGGCAATTGCCGAGTGAAACAATAAGATAAATTGATTGCAAACTGGAATATTAACTTAAGTTAAACAAAACATGATGGCTTCTTTGCCTAGTATTTGGGCAACTCGGAGTAGCGCGGAGGCGTGGACCAGAGCACACTTGAGTTCCGCTTCAAGTGACTGGGATCGATGTTGGGGAAGATGTTCTTTAGATCTGGCGTTTGTGGCGCTACCGAGAAGAAGCTATCGATGATGTCTGTTGGGCAAAAGGTTTGCAGTATCATTCCTGCGCCGCGCACGTGAGCTGCAAGAGATTTACATTAGTATATTGACGTAATAAGGACATGATGTATTGTAGCTTACAGCGACTCCAGGTGGGCACCGGTGGCCTCTTGTAGGAGACTTTGCCCTCATCATCGGTGGAGTCATCCTCGTGCAGCATTTCGAATGTGTATTTCGATTTCGGTGGTGGCGGCATCATTTTCTTGGCCTTGGCCGACTGCAGCTGCTGCTGCAGCTTCATTTGCGCCAGCAACTCGCGTTCCTGTTCCTTGGCCTTGGCCTTCTTCAGTCGTTCGGCTTCCTCTTGTTGATTCAACTTGCGTTGCAGCTCCTCCATTTCCATGCGTTTGCGTTCCTCCAGAAGTTTTTCCTGCTGTTTCTTCAGGCGCTTCTCCTCGCGTTCCTTGGCCAGCTTAGCCATACGCTCCGCCCGCTCACGTTCCTTAGCCTCGCGCAATTGTGCCGCCTGCAAATGCTTCTGTTCCCGCTGCTTCTTACGCTCCTCGGCCAGCTGGTGCAAACCCTTGCGGAAGTCCTCACCGCTGTTCTCACGCGTTAAGGCCTTGCTGGAGCCCGAATTGGCAGACTTAAGATTTGTACCCGTTGCGGTTTTCATTAGCGTTGTGGCCTTGCAGGCACTCAATGGCGCCTTCTTGGGCTGCGCTGAATTTGTCAGAGTTGCGGTTGAGCTCTGTGTAGGAGTCAGGAAACGTCCAAGCGTTGGAGCCTGTAATTTGCCAATGACTGGCGTTGTGCTCGAGCCAGTCGCGCCCTGGTAAAGCTGAAACAAGGAGTATTATACAAAGAAGAGAGAGAAAGCTTATCTAAAAAACGTACAGCATCCCTAATGCGTCTGGAGCGTAGATTATTTTGAGCTTGGGCAGCATTCTCAAAGGCCTCCACGCGCATTTTCACGGGGCTCTGCATCAAGGGACTGAAAGAAGAGAATTATATATTATTATAATACTTGTAATTCCGTATATGACTTACTTGAACAGTTCGTGCGTGCGCGCTGGCAGCTTGATGCCCTTCAGGGATTTGGGTATGGGCTGCTCAGGAATTTTTGGTTTGGGCGCCTCCTGCAACGACTCGTCCTCGGTCAACAAGCTCGTATCCTGCGCCCCATCGGGCAAACTGTTCTCCTCACGCGCCGTCTTCATCGAGTTGTCCTTTTCGGATTCCACTTGGAACGTGGCATTGCCAGCCAGATTGTCGCCCAGACA